ACCTGCACAACAGCACCCCCTCCTGGATCAGGGACTATTCTCACCCTGTCCTCGGCAACGCTCATCCCATGAGCCCCAGCTTGGGGAATCCTGGTCACAGTGACCCAAGGGGCCCTGACCCGGGCACTCCTGCCCAGCTGCACAAATGGGTCTCCAGGTCCTTAATGTAAAACAGAATTTGTTCTCACGTTAGTTACATGGTAAAAGTAAAGGGACAAAATACAGAAACCTGGAGCAGCTCTGTAACTTTCCTGTAAGGGAAGAAACAAAAAGGAAGAGGTGAAGACAGATGGCAGGCATTCCTGATGTTGACTGAGCTGCAGTGTCAGGTGGTCACAGACGATATCTCCTGGGCCAGTTCAGAGCACAGCAATGCTTCTCCTGGTGCCTCAGGGCCACAGATTTATAGGAGACAAGAACCCTTCAGTCAATGAAGGCCTTGAGACAAGTTAGACAAATTGAAGCAATAATTGATTCAATTTAATCATTAAGGGCTCATTTAGCATGGCATTTAGAAAAAAAACTGTGGTTTTTCCAGGACGGGGAATGAACTGCACTGAGATGGAGTCTTTCGATTAGAAAGAAAGAAAACACCATCAATTTCCTGACAAAGATTGTCTAGTGATCCTGTGTGTCTGTTTTAGATTCATCTATGTAAGTCATTTGATTTTTATGAAGGTTGTTTTGAGTGAGGCTGATGGGTCGTGCCTGGTGGCATTTGCTTTGACGCACAGTGGGTCACAAAGAATTTGCTGTGATTTACCAATAACAGATAGTGCCACCTGGTGGGGAAGATTGTAAGAGGATTCTCATTTAGAGATATATTTTTGTACGGTAAATGGAAATATTAAATCTTCTTGCTGCACTTTTATAACTAGATCTTTTCTGGAAGAAACTGCTTTTATGGTCACTGCTCTCTGTGCACTCTGACACCTCACAAAAACATTTTCCACAAACGCATTACAGTTGTTTCTTACTGGTTGAGTTCAAGTAGTGAATGCCTTAAGAGCTATTCCGACTTTTTAAAAGGGAAGAGATTTCAGGTGGTAGTGACAGACTAAATTAATAACACCTATGCTATACCTGTGAAAATGCAGAATTACTGAACCCCGCCCCCAACACAAACACAATCCAATATAATAGTCACTTTCAGATACAGTTTCTACACTAACAGCCAAGAGACCCCACAAACTCACTACAGAGGCTCTGGCTGGGATATTAAAAGAAGCAGCATTGGGAAGAAATAAAACTGAGCTACAAAGCTCCTTAAGAATTCATCAGGATGCAAAACAACAACAAACTCTTCATCAAATGGCATAAGTTCAAACTGGTAACCTCCTCCTGTGTTTAAAAATGCACTCCTCTTATAAGCAATGAAAAACACAAATACTTAATGACAGTTAATTCTGCTGAATTTCTTCAGTGTTTTAAAAGAGCTCTACTGAACACAAAGGGATGTTTTCGAATGACAGCAAGCTAAGATGCAATATGGTTTTGATGTTCTGCCCAATTCTGAATATTTTTATTAAGAACAATCATTAATATATTTCCTTGAATTTACAAGAGCACCTTTGATAGAAATCACCTAACCGCATCACAGGAAAGATGTGAAATAAGACAGAAAACTAACAAGCAGCTGTCAGCCAATATTCCTGGTAAACCCAGCCAGTATCTCCTGAGGTGACAGCACAGTGGAGGAAAGCAGCTGCCCAGATGCGATCATCACAGCCTTCATATTGCCAATTATCCTTCCCCAGATTCTATTATTGGGAAACGATGACAAGCAATCCTTTTTTTTTTACACACTCCGGGTGTAACACCTCCTTAACCTGCGCACTGCTATACAACATCAGCGATGTCAGGCTCACAGAGCAGGAAAAAACAACAACAGAGAAACAAAATTGGTTTCGTTCCAATCTATGTAGAAAAAAAAAACAGAGAGGTGCAAAGATTTATTGACCCTGCACCTGTAAAATTGGAAACGCAGACACAGGCATGAATAGAAACATACATTGTTCTCAGTCTCTCATGTAGCATTAACACTGACATGAACAACTACAAACTGAAACATTGCCCAGCCTGAAACCTACAGTACATCTCATCACAAACCAAACACAGGAGTTAAAACTGTGTTTCATTTTCATCCCTCCCAGGATGGGAATTAGTTGGTTCTGGAGGTCCATATGGAGAGATTACTGTATGTAGGACAATCGTTACTCCACTACCTCCACTACAGATACAACTAATGTGTCCTGAACAGACGAGATTCTGGCCAACACGCAAAACAAACATGACCATCAAATTGCGAAAAGCCTTGTATTACTCAATAAGAGATTTATGAAATAATGCTTATTTTATATTTATATGATATTGACATACTTTTGGGATCGTGGCATTCAGTTTTGAGGGACTGGTATTTATCTCAGTTTATCTGTATTAAAATGAAATATGCTGGAGCTAGAAGCTGTAGCCCATAGCCCATAAGATGAATCCTACAGAAGAAACAAAGGACATCAGTGAAGCATAAGGTGAAGAGCTCTTAAAACTGAGAACTGGAGGCATTTCGTTACACCAGTTATGTTGTGGAAGTCGATATGCTGGCTCGTTTGCAGAAAAGCTGGTATTTACACCACACACCCTCACAAAACCAAAGGCCCTAAGAAAACACTCTTTGTAATTATAGCAAAGTCAATTAGTCAAAAATGAAAATGGAGCGAGTAAATTATGTACGCTAAGAATTTGTGCATAAAACAGGAGTCCTTTAATATTCACACTCTGCAGGGGATATTTTTTTTTCAATCCTTTATGTGACAAACATCCTAGTAACAAACAACAGGCTCAGTGTCTCAAGAATGAAAGAAGAAATTGGTTAAAACCCATTCCAGGAAAAAGAGAGAATTAAAAAAGCTAAAAAAATGATGCTAAAATACGATCACTTCTGATTTTTTAACTACTTTAGTATAAACATTTTGGTAGGACTTACAAGAATCAGGTTATGTCTTTTGAAGTCATACATCTACATAAGTATCAAGTGGAAGCAAGCAACAGGACAAGATGCATTCAATTAATTCCAAACAATTAAAAAGAAAGCTCTCCGGCCTGGTTCTCCATCTGCCCAGGAAAATCAAATAAAAAGGGTACAGTTAAAATGTACCACACAGCATGACTCAAACTTGAGCCAGCAGAAAACTCAGAACTGAAGAAACAGAGGCAGACTGGTCAGAGGCAGAGTATATATCCCGAGCCCAGTATCATCATGCAACTCAGAGCTCTCTCCATGCTCACGGGACTCAAAGGCCTGCTTTCAAAGCCTCTCAAACACTGCCGTGTCAGAGATAAAAAGCACACACAGGGCAATTCTGAAGCCTCACATGTACCCTGCTTTAAAACTGGGAAACAGGAGAGAGGGGTTTATTAAGACAGAGCATTTGAATCATCAAAAAGAAAACAAAATGATTCAATTCTGCACAGATTATTCAACGCAAGAACGGTTACAAATGTTGGTAACTACCCAGCCAATTTGCCCGCCAGTAGTTAATTGATCCCAGCTTTTCATCCAGGCATTTCTTGAAAGAAGTCTGGGTATCAGATTGAACAACATGGCAGCTTGTGCCATACTCCCACAACCCTTTGTGTAAATGAGCGCCTCCTGTTTTTGGTTTTAAATGCGCTTCTGCGTACATTCCCCTTGTGCCCTCTGGTTCATGTCTCATGGAGCGAAGAGGAGGGGTCACAACGCACTTGACATCTGAGTTGCTGCTGAGTTGCACTGTACATCTTGAATCTTTTGCAAGGGAGGGAGGGGAGAGTGGCTGGCAGTTTCCACCAGGAGCTTTTGTGCAGCATTCAGAACTAATGGGCTTCCTGTGCCTGTCCTAATGGATGGCCTGCTGTCCTCATCCAGAGCCGCCTGAAGCTCACCAATCCGTTTCTAACATGAGGAGTCTCTGCCAGTTTCCAGGCTGACCTGGATGACTTCAAACATTTTTGCACCGGCAAAAAAAAATGTGCCTCCATTTTCTTTTTAAGGGAAAGCAGAAACTGCCTAATTTTAGGAAAAACTTTAACTGTTTTAGCATTCTGCTTTACCTTTCCCCACTCTCTTCTAAAAAAAGACATAATATAAGTATTAGAATAATGTAGTGCATCTTACTCACATCTAACACCAGGAACCAACACAGTTTGTGCTTTTCAAGTCTTTTGTGACATTTAGATAAATGATTGAAGTTTGACTAAATTCGTGTGGAATGCTCAGGGGTGGGGGAGTGAGTGTGAAGGCACTCCAGTTTAAAATATGAGCTCAGAATGACAGCGCTTGCGTTCGGTTTCCATAATCCCCCTTGTATAACAGCATTCTTGGCTGTCTTTAAGCATTTATTAAAAGAGAAGGGACACATTCTAAGTAAGACACAAAGCCATGTGCCAAATCATTAACAAACTGGTGTTGTTTACACCAGAATGTGACCACAATGTGAAGGATTGGCTGCACCACAGAGGAGATTGAGAGCAAGGAGAGCTACAGATACTGTAGGACCCCACCAGCTTCACCCACCCAGCAGGAATAACAAGAGCAGCAGCTCTGAGATGTACTCAGATATTCTGAATGGCTTTGATTTAACCAGGCTGTCAAGGAGAAAGGGAGTGTTACAAGAATCAGACACATTGTTCCAGCTTGAATATCCCTGTAAAGCAGAAGAACTCTTTGCATGCTGCGCTGCTTTTTTTACAAGATCCTCATAGCAATGTTTAAATACTCAAACAAGCAACACTAAAGACGCAGACAAGAGAAGCTTTGTTGCACTAAACAGTGGAGAAAATGAAGGCGACAGCTGAGAACTGTTTTGCTGAGGAACGTCTCGACACAGCTTAGCAGTGAACCCCTCCCTGCCAGCAGAATGTTTTTTGAAGAGGGACAAGTGCTTTACAACTCAACCCAGTAATACTGTGGCATCTAATGATCCTCCCTACTGCACTGCACGCAGGCACACAGGAACACTTACCCTCTTGGTATAGTCCATAGCTTTCAGGATGGACAGGTTGAGAGTCTCCAGGGAGGCCAACACATCCTCATAGTCACCCATGTGAGAGGCGAAATAATCTGGGCAGGGGAGCAGAGGAATATGGGGTGAATGAGGTGGAACCTCCCCAAGCACAGGACTGTTCACATGGCCTTAATATCGCTGTCTCAGCAGACCTGCTGCAACGCTCACTCCTCTTCACTGAACATTCTATGGCCATGTTGCACAATAAATAGGCCTCTTGTTGCATGACAGCCTGATCCATTTTAGTTTCTACAAACCGCAGGCACTTGTACAAACTGCTGACGGCCCAGAGAAATACATACATCTTAAAAACGTCTTCATGTCCACCTTTGTCTGTTTAAATGTGCTAAAAATGCAGTAACACAATTTCCAGTGCCACCGGCAGGGACCCCTCTAGACAAGAACATGCAATGTGTAAATCACAAAATGGCTCTAATTAGCTTTTTTGTCACAATATCTGTGTTATGAAGGTTAGGGGTTATGTAACCTGAAGGGCACTTTTTTGGAATCCAAAAATGTGCAGATGTTTGGAAGGTATCACAAAAACCTCTGCATTACCTGATATTACCGCTGTCCTTAATCTGTTCTACCTTCATCAAGATCGTAACACCTGTAGCATGCATGACCTTACAAGGTACTGCAATGTTTTCTTGATTAATGAGCCAAGATCTCAAGTCCTGTCTACGTTGAACAGAGCTGGATGTTAGGCCCAGGCAAGTGCAGGTCTACAGATGAGTGGTGATTTAACCAGAGACACCAGAGCTTTGACTAAAGACCAAAGTACCTCATTAGCTATACTCACCACAGAGCTCCTTGGTGTCAACATTACTGTGACACCACAGTAAGGGCAGCGGGAGGGAAAGAGAAGAAAAGAATTGGAGAAGAAAGGAGTAAGACACAAACTTAAAAGAACAAAATAAAATCAAATAAAACACAGTCTATTTCCAATTAAGAGGCTGTCCTAAAGTTACCGTCACACAGTATATTCTATAATATTGTCTCTATGTCTTCAGACAAGCAAGGTCAGAAGTGCGATAGATTTTGTAAGTCAGTGACAACAGTAAGGCTGTAATTACAATAACCTCTGACAGCATAGAGTGTCCTAAAAGAAAAAGCGTTATTTTTTGTCACACAGTGTAAGTTAGGTTGGGCGCCTCCAGCTCTGTTTAATTACCAGCACGACTTTGATGAATCAAACTTAAATTGGCTTTTTCTTCAGCCATTTTCTCCTTTGGCTCCCACAGAAAGGTAGACTCTGCAGTGTACAATTATTTCTTTCACAGCGCTTTAAACCCCAAGGGTGGAACCAATTATCTTCAGCAAACACAGACAGGAGCTGGTACCAGCAGGAAGGGATACATGAGGAGACTATATTTATTTTAAGGTAGTGAACATGAAGTGGGTCAATCAAAACATTTCGCATGAGCTCATGAGATGTTAATGGCCTCTTCCAAAAGCTTCATGCCTTCCTCACTTCTCCTCCGAGATTTCATACTCCTATTTTCATTAATTAGTCTTAATTATTGCTGTGGGATCCTGGAATATTTTGCCTGCACAATCATTAAGAAAAAAACATTTTATTTTTTTATCACAGTGATGCGGATTATCTAGAATTACAGACTTATCAAGCAATAACACTGCTTTTCTTTTTATCAATTTGGAATTGCCAATTATTTTTGTTGGACTCGCCTGATTCAGAATCACCAAATTAAGTTTCTCATGTCTTGGCTCAGAGCTGCAAACACCTGGGAGTATCATGATGAACTGAATGAGGATGTTTAGGCACACACCTCTGACCTGCGAACTTGCACCCAATCATCTTTTTAGACACTGTGAATGGGACCATCACTGGGTTTTGTGCCCACAATGGCAGGCACACATTTAGTATTCTAAAATTATTTAAATTGCACATTTTTTTTAAACCCTCAAATCAGATAAAAAAGAATTTGGGGATCCTAAGGAGTACGCAGAGGTATTTAATCAATTACATTAACACGTTTTGAAATTGCACAACAAAAGCTTTAAAAACAGTAAGGAATATCATTAAAAGCCACTTCCTCCTGTCTTACATCACATTTTCTCAATTTCCAATGTTTTTTTTTTTAATTCTTTACATCTTATAAACATAATGCTACTCAGGAAATTGGACACTGAGAAGCTCGCAAAGTATAAAGCATTTACTGTATGCAGCATCCATCCAGTATTTGCTCAGATTTGCTCTCTTTAGAAATACAGCATTTCAAATCGATTCTGAATAAAGGGGGTCTGCTATTTTGCAAAGCAAGCTAATTAAGCGGATTGCCATTAAAGGACAGTAAATTAAGCCTGGGAGTGAATTAACTTAATTAAAAAAAGAGGTGCTTTGTTAAGTGGAAGGAGGTCTCTCCTGCACTGCTGGGCCGAGATGCGGCAAAGTTATACAGTATGTCAGTCTTGTGTATGAAGTCCCGGTTGCTGTTACACAGGATTAATGCAACCAGCCACGTATATGCCATTTATCAGAGTGGTGCAGGCCTCATGCCAGTCTCGTGCTTCTCTGGATTAATGCATCCTTAAACGATAACGAATGTGGAGTGGCGCAGGCCAGCGTCCCCCCTGCACAGGCCTGATGCTCTTGTCATAACAAGAGTGCGCACAACGCAATGCCAGCAGGCTACCGTGCCAAATTAGCTCCGCTTGCGTATCTCCTCGACAACAGAATCGCACTCAAAACTCAGACTAGCAGCACTAAAATATATTAATCGAACAATCCATGCCTCTGCATTTTCAATGTAGTCTCCATTAATATATTAAAGACACATCCATTACACAGAACATTACTCTGTCCCGTTTTCTGAACGGTTTCTAATGTCGGATGAAGGCAGCTTCTCTCTCGTAAATCGCACAGGTTGCTATGCACGATTCTAGGTTGTACTGTGTGTAGATTTATGACTGGTTAAGACCACATGTGGATTTAGACACACTGCGTCAGCTGTATTTGATAAGAAGGCATCTTAGCAGCAATTGGAGCCAGGGGAGATGGCCATAGCTACTGACCTCTTTTCTAATACAGTACCTCCAGTGGAATGCTGGGGTTATTTTACTGAAGAGTTTAATTATTCAAGATTAAAATGTGCAGGGTTGTGCTCATAGAGATCTCGGCTGAACAGCGCCCTGATTATTATTATTTTTTAAATAAAAAAACAAACAAAATGCACAAGGACAACTCTAACCTAGAGAGAGAGAGACAACAATCAAAAGTGCTTTTTGAGCATTATTGGCACTTTGGCCGTTATGAAGCAACACCAACACCAGGAGCAATCTGGACAAGTCGATCAATACTTTCATTTTACAGTGATCTGAATAACAATCCTTCATGTCAACGGCTTTGGTTTTTAATTTTATTATTCTTTCCTTCATACAAATCACCCTGTTGATTTCAGCCTTCTTCTCACTTGAATGGTTACAACACACTTGCTCAGAATGACATCTCCATCTGCAGGTCGAGAAGGAGGAGGGAGAGTGACAAGGAGAAAAACGAATGACCCAACAGCTTGTGTGCAACTCTCTTCCCAGGAAAAGAAGAGGAGACGTTAGGCGGAGAGCGAGAGGAGGGGAGACAGGGAAACGTTTCTTTTTTTTCCTGCAAATGAGGGGGAAAGAGTGGATGATGGAGGCAGAGGGAGACGACGACAGGGGTTGAAACTCAAATTCCTGTCCCTGCCTCTCGCAGCGCAGCTTCCCAGCAAAAAACATTCCAATTGCTCCTCCCCTTTGAGTAACATGGAAGACATGGTATCACCATCCCTTATCTCCATTTCCCACCACTGCACCTCACATTGTGCTAATCACAAAGAAGCTGAAATGTTTCCGATGTGCCTTGGCCAATGAATTCATAAAACAAGAAAAGATAAAGGAAGCCACTTTTCACTACAGAAATTGATGGTTTGAGCAGTTGAGGCTGCAGATCACAACTCTCTTTGCTCCACGGAGCACAGAGGTACAGTTCTGGAGCCCCCTTTTCTCCTGCTGAATAGAAGAAGCATTATTTCTAAACTTTTTAATCTTGGTGCCATACAGTATGTTTACCATCAGCTAAAATTTCAATTAATATTAAATGCTTGAGCTTTTTTAAATTGTACAGTTTATTTGATTACATTTTTATTTTATTCCTTCATTGCAGGAAGTCACAGCATTATTGGCATTTATTGGCCTTCATTCAACATCATGACAAACAGTACAAGAATCCCTGGCAAATAATTTTAGTTTTCCCTGAATATTGGCAGACCTGGAAGACTGAAGGCTGTTGAGTCCGATTCATGGGCAAATGAAAGAGCCTACTCCAACTATCCTTGTTGAGGAACAGCAGCACAGAGAGACATTTGTGGTCGCAGAAGGCCATTTCACCAACACTCCACAAGTCTGCCTTATACAAATCCTTTCTTCCTCTGAATCTAGTGAGCACAGCAGCCAATGTCTGTCAGTCTATCATTGCATGGTGTTCAGCTCTGATGGGAGTTCCCCTGAATATTCTGTCCTCCCAGTGAGGTCTCCCTGCTCCCCACACTGCATACTGTGGGCACAGGAGCAAAGGAACAGTGCTATTGAGATTTGCATCATAAAGTTTCCAAAATTCGTCACCATTTATCTTTGCAAGTGGTCATCCTGATTTAGCACCTGATAAACCTTGCACTCCATCTTCCTATGCTTTGCAGCTTGAAAATGAAATTGTCTGTAGGCCAGGGCTTTTTTTTTTTCATTATGCACTTTGTGCCTGTATATCAGAGAGATTACATCCTTGTAAAATTGCCTAAGAGCCATCCTGGCATCACAGCGAAGGGGAACAGGGAATTAATACAACCAGCCATGTTACGGCTCCCGGGATTATTGCCCAGATAAGGGAAATGCTTTCCGTATATTTCATGGCCTTCAAACCAATTTTCAAGGGCATTTCCAACAGTTCTTAAATATTGAGCAGCACTCTATTTCGGAGCTTGGAAAGTGCCCAGCACTCCTTAGGATCAAAACCATTACAAAGAATGACAGGTTCTGGCTATTAAGCGTCTTATTCATAGGTCTTCATGCATAGATGCAAGAACTTTTCTAATGAAGTATTTAGTTATTACTGCAATACCAAAGGACAAAGGATGATTCCCATAATCTAATTGAGGTGTGAGTTATGGTAAATATATACTGTACAGGTACGAGACCATAGTTCACTCTTCAGAGTGGAAGCACAGCCAGCTACTGCTTGCTTCCTGCTGCTCAAGAACACGATGTGGAAAAATGAAAGGTTTTTCAGAAATGCTAATTCACATCAAGATGGAACTCTTTATAAACAAGGTGGATGACTGAATTTAATTTATCCTGTGTGCAGAGCCTTCCATACGAGCTAATTGAGTTTCATTCAAAGACGAGGAGCAAAAGTAGCTGCAGTGTGAGGCAGGGAGAGAAAAGACAACCCCAAACCCTGCCCTAATGAAACAGGGCGCTGCAATGCTACAGTGTATACCACAGCTTAAAATACAATAAAGCGTTCTCATAAACACAGGTTTCACTGCTCAGTCTCAGTGCAAATTTTAATCAAAATGACTCGGTAAGCTCTGTGCCCTCCCCTTCTAAAGCATCCTTCCTGGAAACCAACTGAAGTTTATCGCCAGTGATTATTAGACTATTATATCTTGCAGAGCTGCAAGGCTGGACCACAGACTTGAATTCAACACAAGGACAGCATTTCAATAAAGAAATCTACAGCTTCTGAAACTTCCGAAAGAACTGACAGGAGAGGATGAGCTGCTTTGGGATTTCCGGTTTTCAGTGGCAGAGAAAGGTTTCCTGTAAGGAACCTCTTATCGGATCCATAAACGCAGGCCTTTTGGCTTGTAGACAATGGAATTACTATGGACAATGTCAGGGTTTTACAGGTATTTTAATGGTACCATCACATCCAACACTAAAACAGTAAATCCCAGGTATCCAACAGAAGAGACGAGCACAAGTTTTGTATTTATATATTCACCACAAACACTGCAGAAAGCCTACTTACCTAACCTGAGAGATACTCTAGACGCAGTGATTCTGGCCGGGTGAACATTATAGACGTTGTATATTCATGACATCTGGAAAGGGTGCTTACCTGGTGTTATCTGAGTCAATTGTGTGAAAGAGTTTTTCCAGCTCTTCTTCATTGAGAGTCCCGTCAGAGAAAAAGGCCTGAAACTCATCAAGAGAGAGCTTTCCATCATCTGAAAGGGAAGGGTAATTACAAATCAGTGAAAGCCTCATGGACAAGCTAGCTTTATGGGTTGCCAGTAAGTGTAGCTAAATGACCTCGGATCTCATCCAGCTGTTTCTAAAGGAGAAGCCAGGGTATCAGCTTCAACAACATGACTGGGTAGCTTGTTCCATGCTCCCACAACTCTTTTGTTCTTCTGTTTTAAATACTTATTTCAAACGTTTTTCACTTCCTCTGTGTACATTCAAGACCCAACACACTAGACCTGAACAATACATTACCCACCCTTGAGAAGGAACAGCTGGATGTATTTGGACATCTTTTGCAAAATATACAGTATCGAAAGTGCTGTACTGATTCCTGGATGGAATATGAACTTCGCTGTCATGGCCTCTAGTGTGCACACAGTGGACCTGCACACGGACATTTTCTGCATCATTCACCACAAGAAGAATCAAAATACTTCAGAAAAGAAGTGGTAAATTTGTTTGTGACTGCAAAGAGATTTTACAGTTTATATTAAAAGGGATAGGCCGTGCTCTTTGACAGGTTAAGTCTGAATTGTTGGCATTACCCAGTGCGTAAGAAACAATCAACGCTAATGGGATCCTCATAAACTAGGTTTTATGAGGGAGTGTTGATTGTTTTGTATTTTATTTATTTTTGCAGCTCATTGTAATCAGGTTTGGGTGCAGGATAATTACAGACAATTTTACGGTCAGCAGACAGGCTCAATGCAAATTAGCAGCCAAAAATTTACACACTGGAGTTCGAGCCAGGTCTCTCTGTGGGGGTTGAAACATAGGAAAAGCAACACTTAAAGAGCAACAGCACAGAGGGGCGAGATTACAAAGAGAGTTTTGATGATTTAACCCTTTCTAGAGGAGTACAGAACCCCTGAATCTCTCAATCAGCATCAATGTAGCTCACTTTGCCTCTTTAGCGCCCTCTGCAGGCATGGCATAAATTGTCTTCTGCCTCACATTAAGCAGCACATTTCATTTTAATTGACATTGACAATGATATTTTACTAAGACAATAAGTAGACACAAATAATATTTTTTCTCTTTACGTAACGATAGATGTGGCAATTTTTGTAGCCGTATGACAGCTTACTAAAATCTAGCCTGCGGAAACATGAAGCACACATCTGGTTGTTGAAATTAAGGTATGAAGGCAGCTTCAGGTCCATGCATCAATGAAGTTCACATCTGGCAGGGAAGCTTTCTTGTCTGAGTGTTTAACTTAGCGTGTAAATTACTCTGCATTTTTATGGTTTTGAGCTCGGTGCTGTCCTCTCTCTCTCTTCGGCTACCCCAGCATCACCTGCAGTTACTCTTTATTATAAACCAGAGCTTTGGAGCCAAGCTGCTTTTATTCATGTAACTGTTAATGATTTCAATAGTAAGCTCTGCCCATTCCATTAAAATGTGATAGGAACATAGGAGGTGAAGTGGACAGACGTGTGGAAACCTACAGGACAGATGGACAATGTGGTCAGCAAAGTGGAGAAACACAGACTTGGACAACCGAGCAAGCAGGGCACTGAGAGGCTAGTGAAGTAGAGTCTATTATAGCCAGGAACCTCCAGGTACTCAAGTAATCCTGGTGGTTAGTGACTTCTCCTTAGATGCCAAAATCTAAAATCATAGAAACACTGTGATCAACCAGAAGCAGTCTTTGATAAAATAGCAAAACAGCATGTACATGACTGTGCTGTTGTCGAGATAACCTGTACTCATTTATTACTGTTATACTGCACATTGGAAAAGATTCTGTATGAACTAAGGGACAGAATTAAGGTCTCCCATACAGTCAGGAGCAGAGTGCTTAAGTATTCACAAAAGAATGTCTTGCAAGCAGTGAAAGCCTGCCTGTATTGTCCAGAGAGTGTAGAAATGAGCACAGTGATGTATGCTTACATCTGGAAGCTAATCCTCTCCCCACCCCACCTTGCCAGGTATGTCCAGCTGTTAGAAATAGGCACAAAGGGGAAAAAAAAGCTTTTTTGTCCTTCCGAGGTCTTCTGATGCCTTGTGTTGATATCCAGTTCATCTTAAGGATGTCTTTATTGCAAAGGTTACTATAAGTAAATTCTCCTTTATCCAATCTTTAAGCATCATGGGGAAGTTTGTGATGGGATGAAAGCCATTGCTGAGTGGGGAGAGGATCTGCAGGTTAGTGGAATTGTGGTGTGTTGTAGTCTGACAAACACACACATACAGACCAATGCAGGGGCTGTCAGTTCAGCCAGATTTAATGATCAGCATCTGCACTTCAGTCCTCCTACTAAACAGTAGAAGGCATTAGAACAAGGTGCCACACCATTACAACCACGCTGCAGCTAGGCAAAAGATTGTGTCTAACGTTTTGTGACCTTTTATATTTTTCAGGTCGTTTTTTTTTTAAGATCACAGAGGTGTATTAGTAGAGACAAGCTCCATCCACAGAAAACAAACTCATTTCCATTTCTTTCCTCTCAGTCTGTCTAGATGCAGTGTGCGAGATGTGGAAATATACAGTATATAAGGTAATTTGGAGGTCAATCTAGTTACCAGCACTGGAATTCAGAAAAAGAACTGTGAAGTGTGTATGATTTCAATTGTCCACAATGCAAGTTCCCTGTGTGGTGCCTGAATAATTTAAAGAATTGTTACAATCCAGAATGTGCTGGGATTGGTTTATCTTGCATTTAAGGCTGTAGTAATGCCTTACATTAGTCTGTAGAATGACATCTTTGGCCCCATATGAGAGCTTTATACAACACAGAAAAAAAACAAACAACTTAATCATCCTGACCAAATGGCTCCCAGGTCCAATCCAATCAGCTACAGAGCCATTCTGCTGATGCTGAACAACTGCATCGATACTGGAGAATATGTGCAATTACTGCATTTCATTATAGCACTACCCCAAACCAACCCTAACAATGCTTGGGTAAATGTAACCTCCATGCAACTGAAGTCACAATTTCATTTGGGCAAACAGTCCATTCAGAAAAGCAAAGAGGGTATTAAAGACAAAGTTTAAGATGCCCAATTATAAGGTACATCTTTCCAAATGTTACCAATGGAACATTCAATGGTTTGATATCTCACTACATTATAGTATCAGCTGCACTTCCAGTTCTCCAAGTGGGTAAACTGGGTGCAATCACACTCTCTGCTGTGTGACTGCAGACAAAAGGGATGCAATTAGCACTCGTTCTCAAGCTGGAGGCTGAATCCTTTCAGATCTACTCCTCCTAACCCTAATAACTAAAAAGAAAATCTTCTTTTTTATCTAGGGTATTTTGTTGTCATAGTAACCTGAGAAGAGAAGTGACCTTGTTTACGATGAGTCCATATTGGTCTCGCTTTGTACCGTCCTTAATTTGGAGAGGATATCTGTCACTCTTAATTGCCGAGATGGTTTCATTTCTCACCCACCGCCTCCTATATCTCCCACTTTCATATTCCCTGATCTCTTTGTTCCACTGACCCATCTGCTTTGGGGAAAAAAAAAACAACATTCATTTTCAGAAGCTCCATTTCTCTCTCTTTTTTTATTTCTGCTTGGCCTCGGCCGATAGGGATTTTATTTTCCATTTTCTCCAGTTACAGGTGTTGTGTCTTAACGATAAGCCTCAGAGCCTCGGAGAAAGAATAGCTGTTATTCTTAGGAAATAACCCCACGGGCAGGCAGAATCTTTTCTCCCAGGGAACAGAGAGTCTTCGTTAATGCAAACAGGCAACCGTCTCAGAAAAAGAAACGTCCATAGCCTTCAACCATCTTTGAAAAGATGGGGAAGAGCCAACACAACACTGTAGGCTAACACCAGTAACTCATCATCTGTAAACTGTGAATAAAGTCTGAACCCTGCCAGCTCAGCCATTCTTGATACAAACTGTGCCTAGAATTGACCCTTCCAAGCAGAACCAAGCCTAAATCATCATCTCAGACCAACCTAATGGCATCCTCCATATCAAATTATTCCCTGCACCAGGTTAATGAGTGCAATACATATTTGGTAAATCTACATTTGACAAAGACATTCTGTTCTCCACTTAGTGGGCCCTTCCATTCATCTAAGATAAAGACCCCTGGAATGGCACCTACTGTAAGAGGCAGGGTGTTGATATCTCTCCAACTCTACAGAAGCTGTGGGACTAAGCAGAAAGGCTTCCCTGACTACTAAGTCACTTGAAGGCCACTGAGTTGAGTATTCCTGAGGCTCAGCCTTCATCTCCAGCTGAGTGAACCACTTCAACTCACAAGAGAGAGCAAGGCTCTATGATACTGCAAGCTGAAAAGTGCTCTGGTCCGCACACAAAGTCTCGGAAAGGGATGTCTGTGGAGAGCCAGACTCTACTGAAAAGGTATGAAGTGGAAACAAAATGGCTTTGATAATCAGAGTGAAGGGCAAGTACCCTACCGAAGTCTGAACTGCAGACATGTGTGGATGAATCAAGTGTGTGTCATCAGGAAACAAGAACAAGGCCTCACAATGACACAGTAGGTGTCTATAATTGTAATAAAAGTAAGAAATGGTTTGAATAACATACAGTATATATATCCAGTATGTACTGTATTAGAGTGAACTATGGGGAAAAAGTGTGGTAAACTCTCAGTTTCACGATGCTGGGATTCAGCACTACTCATTATCACAATTCACTGCGACTGCGTACTCCCAAAAAAAACCTGAAAGGCAGATAAGTCCCTTTCCAGGCCATAAAGGCCCATGGGGGAAGGGCCACCATTCTTCTCAACCATCCGACACTGGAGGTGGAGGTGATGTGGTCAGCATCACGCTCCGGCCAGCCTGTTACCCCCAGAAGGATTAATCCCCGGTACTCACTTGGAAAGCAGGCTGAGTGGACCTGGGAGTCATCTGGAAGGAATTAAAGCAAGCTCCATCGCTTGCCCCTACCTGGGATTGAACCCGGGACCTTCCAGTCAGGAGCTGGACACCCTTGCCACAACCCTATATGTAAATAATGTATTGTGAAATAAACACTGTGAATACCTGTG